CCTCTCGGTTCTTTGAGGCCTCAAGTTTGCCCACCTCTGCACTTGCCTTTGCTGCCTCAGACCCTTCCCGTTCTTCACAGAGCTTCCCCCTTCATTCACACTTCCACTTGGGGGTTCCCCCCCAAGGGAAGTCTTCCTGGGAATCCCATCTGAAGTTGCTGTTCAATTACACTACCCTGTCCATCTCATATTCTTCATAGTACTTCCTGCTCTCAAAAGACTCTATTTATTTGTTTACTTGTTTGTCTCCCTGGCTAGAATGTAAGCTCCCTGAGAGCCAGTTGTCCGTCTGCGGTGTTCACTGCTGTATCTCCAGTGCCTAGAACAGCACTTGATATGTAGGAGGCACTCAATAAACCGTTGAAAGACTGAAGGGTGCCCCTGTTTGGGGCTGGGAGGGTAATAAGCTGGCCTGTGCTGTAGCCGTGTCACGTCTCATCCTGCTCTGTTTGTAGGTCACTGCCAGGGGATGCTGCACCCCCTAAAGGTGAGGCTTCTCCCTGGTCATAGGAATGAAGTTGGTGGGGAGGTGGGGCCATACACAGCCTTACGCAGACATAACTGTCAAGGTCCATGTGGTTACATTCACCATGAGCCCAGCCCTCGGCACACATGTCCCAGCAGCCCCCTTCTCTGTATGTTCCCCCCCCAACACGAGCCCAGGCCTCCAGCCCTGGAGTGTAACAGGCAGGTGTCCCTGCAGGTGAAGAGCTGGTTGAGGCTGCCAAGAGGAACGACTTCTATAAGGTACTAGTGCCCTGGCTCCAGCTACTTGCCCTTGGCAGCCCCCTCAGGCACTGAGAGTGGTGCCTCTGGGTGGGCCATGAGCTTGCCTGTTCAGGTGCAGTCATCTGTCATCATCTTGCCCTCAGCAGGGTCTCTGTGGTGATTGTCCCATTCTGCCTTTCCCCTGTCCAGCCCACAATCCGTGTTCCTTCCTAGGGGCTTCCTAGCTCAGTCTGCCTGTCCCTGGTGCTCAGAAAGGAGCAAGTGTTAGAGGAACTGCAGGCTCCAGGGCCTGGTTGTCAGTGCTCCCGGGGAGTCCATGGGCACTTTAGGTGAGATAGGCCCTGATGCTCCAGGAAGACCCCCAGCGGCCCCTAGAGAGTAATGTGTATGAGCACTAGTGTCAGGCCTGTGGCCTGTGTGTGAGTTGGGGGGCGTTTCTGTGGCTGGAGAGGGTAGGCCAGAGGAACCCCAGCCCTGCTCTGCCTCCTGCCCTCAGCTCCAGGAGCTGCACCGAGCTGGGGGTGACCTCATGCACCGGGATGGTCAGAGCCGCACACTCCTGCACCATGCAGTCAGCAGTGGCAGCAAGGAAGTGGTCCGCTACCTGCTGGACCACGGTAAGCTGTGCCACTGGGGCACCCTGGGCTGAGCCAAGGTGGGAGGAGAGGCTGCCAGGCATCTGAACTGCCCCTCCCCTCTCCTGCAGCCCCTCAAGAGATCCTTGACGCTGTAGAGGAAAAGTGAGTATCTGGCAGTGCAGGACCCTGGTTACCCTGGAAACGGCCCAGTCTTCATCTGACCCCTCATGTTTGGTCTGGTGGGAGCCCATAAACCCCGAACCCTGCCACATCTGTCATCCTCTGGGCCACACCCCCTTACCCCTGGGTCCCAAACTTCCTGTCCTTTCTGATGGTCCTGGGGAGACAGATGGGAGGGCTTAGAGGACTGGATGGGGTCCACAGCCAGCCCCTTTTCCCCCAGCGGGGAGACCTGTTTGCACCAGGCCGCCGCTCTGGGTCAGCGCACCATCTGCCACTACATCGTGGAGGCAGGGGCCTCGCTCATGAAGACAGACCAGCAGGTGAGCAGACCGGCAGGGCAGGCAGGGAGTCCACGAAGCCCCCAGCCAGTGCTCCCCCAGACTCGGCCCTTGTGAGGGGAGCCTCAGGCGAGGGCCACCTCTGGGGATTTGAAGCTGTTCCTCAACCTTAAGAAACCTGAGCCAGCAGGGGTGGGGCTGGCCTGGCCGGCCTGCTGGGCCTTCCCTCCCCCACCGGCAGCCCGCGGGAAGAGGGCCTGCCCTCTCCTAAGCCCCATCACAGCTCCTCCCTCCTCCAGGGCGACACTCCCCGGCAGCGGGCAGAGAAGGCTCAGGACACGGAGTTGGCCGCCTACCTGGAGAACCGGCAGCACTACCAGATGATCCAGCGGGAGGACCAGGAGACGGCTGTGTAGCTGAGGCCAATGCTGAAGAGGGACAGCACCAGCCAGAGCAGGAGCCCCCTCCTCACCCACCTCACTGCCACATTCCAGTTGGGCAGCCACGGGGGGACCCATGCCCCAGGGAAGGAGCCCCTGCTGTCCCCTGAGGAGCCACCCAAACTAGGGCTGGACTCTGAGGAGCTGGAGCATCTCACCTGTGCCCCTGAGCCCTGGCCTGACCTGGAGGCTCACAGGAGAGCAGGAAACTGGACTGGACTGGGCAGGCCTTCTGGGAGCTGGGGCTGGGCCACTGCAGGGCAGCCCTCACTCTCGGTGGGTGCCCTCCCTAGAGTTTAGGGACCAGAGGAGGAGGGCAGAGGGGCTTGAAGCTCTGTCAGGGAGCCTTCCTAAGCCACCTGGTCCTCAAGGGCCCCTACTCTGAGGGTCCTGGAAGCTCAGTCCCACTCCTACTCTGACACCACTCTTCCCAGGGCTTCCTCCCAGAAACCTGGAGCCTGCTGCATTTGCCTGCCCGCTGCCCTGCTTGGCACCTACCCCACTGACGTTCCCCAGTCATTTTGTCAAGGACTGTGTGGCCTGGGGGTTGGGGTGGGGCTCTCACGGTGACTTGTTTACAGCTGGGTGTGACTCAGTAAAATGGTTTTTTTTTCTTTTCTGTGTTTCTTTTTTTGCGGGAGACAGAGGTCTTAGAGCAGCAGCGGGGTCTTCTTCTGGATTAACCTCTAAGTGGGGGGCCTGGATGCCATGGACCCAGACCCTTCTCTGGGGGTCCTGGGTCTCATTGGGGGGGGCGGATCCCAGGGCTGCCCTAGGCCCGACCTCCGCCGGCTGCCGGGGGAGGAGCTGGGTTCCACCGGCTTCCCGCTTTCCTCTGGGACAACAATGAAAGTGAAAGAGGTGGGGCAGGGTCGAGGACTGGCTACTTCGGTCAATTTGCCCTGTGGCCTTGGGCAAGCCCCCTCCCCCAGGCCTCTGTTGCTCTCGCTGTTTAGGGGGTTCGGATGCGGTGATCCCCGAGCTCCCAGGGTCAGAAGGGGGGGCATGTGCTGCAGCCGCCGAGGCCGGGTCTGGAACTTCTCAAACGGCTCTTGTCAGCTCCCAAGTCACCAAATCCAGGCCTGCGGGCTCCTCCTCCACCTCCCCCACCCCGCAAACCTGCGCTCCAG